GCGGAGCTGCCAGGACCCGGGGCTTGGAAAGAGGCCGACCTGGCTGCTGAGCGGGCCCGGGCCAGAGGCGCTCAGGCGTAGGGAGGAAGTGAACTGGCCCGAGGTGGGACCAGGCTCCTGGTCGCGCAGGCCTGGGTTTGGCCACGGGGCTGCGGGTCCCTCTGGGACGCCTAATTCTCCCCTTGTCTGGCCGAAAGGTCACCTGGCTGCAGCCCCCCCCCTCAGGTGGCAGAGGGCCAGCTGTGCCCGTTTTGGGCATGGAGCCTTTGGTGACTATGCCCCGAATACACACAGTGCCCGGGGGTGGAGCCCGTGTGCGTGGACCTGGGCAACTGGGAGGCCACAGAGCAGGCGCTGAGCAGTGTGGGTCCGGTGGACTTGCTGGTAAACAACGCTGGTGTGGCCCTGCTACAGCCCTTCCTGGAGGTCACCAAGGAGGCCTGTGACACGTGAGCCACATGGGGGGAGAAACCCCAGGGGAGGGGCTACCCCCTGCAGCAGCCGCAGTCCCTGACCAGGGTCTGTCCATTCTGTCTCTAGGTCCTTTGATGTTAACCTTCGGGCTGTCATCCAGGTGTCCCAGGTGAGCTGTCCTGCTGTAGTAGGGGAACTCTGGTGCGTGGTGCCAATTCTGCCTCACCCTCCCTCTGCAATTTCAGATCATGGCCAGAGGCTTAATAGCTCGCGGAGTCCCAGGGGCCATCGTGAATGTCTCCAGCCAGGCCTCTCAGCGTGCGGTGACTAACCACAGTGTCTACTGTGAGTGAGCCCCAGCTGTGCCCCAAGCCCCGCCCCAGCCTCAGCCCCAGCCTCCAGCCCCAGCCTCCAGCCAGCTTGGGCTCCTCCTCACAGGTTCCACCAAGGGTGCCCTGGACATGCTGACCAAGGTGATGGCCCTAGAGCTCGGGCCGCACAAGGTGAGCTGGGCTAGAGTGCCTCCCACCACCCAGGCACACGCCCCAGGAGCCCCACTCGCCTTTTGACCCGTGCTGGTCCCGGTGCAGATCCGTGTGAATGCAGTGAACCCCACAGTGGTGATGACGCCCATGGGCCAGGCCAACTGGAGTGACCCCCACAAGGCCAAGACCATGCTGGACCGCATCCCACTTGGCAGGTTTGCTGGTGAGTCAAGGAGAAGCCCAGCTGCGAGTCATGTGTGCGGGGGCCAAGGGCAGGGGAAAGATGGAGGGCAGCCTGCTCCAACTACACCCTGACCCCACCCTGCCCACAGAGGTGGAGAACGTGGTGGATGCCATCCTCTTCCTGCTGAGTGACCGAAGCAGCATGACCACAGGTTCCACTGTGCCCGTGGACGGGGGCTTTCTGGCCACCTGAGCCCCCTCCCACACACACCTCAGCCCCATGCTAAGCCCACCCCTTCCCCCCATCCCTCCAATAAACGTGATTCTCCTGCCTAGCTTTCATGCTGGTTCCTGGGCTGCCAGCAGCTGGGAGGGCTCAGGGCTGGGTGTGGGATGGGTCCCAGGCAGGCAGAGATCCGTTAGATTCACATGCCATGCTAGGTGGCGGCCCAGCTCTCACACCTGAGATTTTTCAGGCCGGCCTGCACCCTGGCAGTGGCTCTGCAGGCAGGACCTCCCAAAAGGTGCGCTCCTAAAGAGGGAGGTGAATTTGACCAAGCACGACCTCTGGCCCTGTCCAGAGACCTGCGGGGTGGAAGCAGTGGCGCGCTTGTGTTTAACAACCACTCCTGTGAGTATAGTGCTGACGGGAAGACTGGGTGATCTTCCCTGAAAGTAATCAGTGACCCAAAAGTGAAACAAGGAAGGTGTAGGTTAAATTTCACTACTTTATCAATGACCCAAGCAACTTCTTTGTTGCATTAGACAATAGTTTTTGAATTCTGGAAGAACATTTCCCCAACTTTTTGTGCTATTCACAGTGCAATGAGCACATACACAGCACACTTCAGTTTAATCTGCATTTTCTCTTTTTATTCTCACTGTCACCCCAGCTGGAGTGCCGTGGCACAATCACAGCTCACTGTAGTCTCACACTCCTGGGCTCAAGCCATCCTCCCACCTCAGCCTCCCGAGTAACTGGACTACAAGTGTGCACCACCATGCCCGGCTCATTTTTAAAAATTTTTTTAGAAACAGGATTTTGCTGTGTTGCCCAGGCTGGTCTGAGACTCCTGGGCTCAAACAATCGATCCTTCCACCTCAGCCTCCTGAGTAGCTGGGATTACAGGCGCGATTCACCAAGCCCGACTGCTGTTACCTGAAGTCTACATGATTAATGATAAATCAACCCAATTTGTGGAGTTTGCCAATTTCCTTGGTATAAATATTGCCACTAGGGCTGATTTCAAGCTACCAATTTGATGTCATCGAATGCAGAGTTGAGAAGAGATGAACAGTAGCACCCCCTTACATGGAATCTGGACTTGATAAGTACAAGAAATGTAAATAGCCCCAAAGGCATACATAATAGTCACAAGTACAAAACTAATTAGGAAGTAATGTGTTTTGAGTATTTGTTAATTTTGTTTTTAACAAAACTCATTATGAGTTTATACAATTTAAATATTAATAATGGTTAACAGCTGGCTAGCCAAATGCCTGAGAATTTAGCAATTGTGTCTCCTGAGCCAGCAGGAGCCACCTCCCCCGAGAGCAGGCCCGCTCAGCACCCTCTGATCACACGTTTGCCTGGAGAGACGCCCTGTGGCCTCTCTGGGGTGAAGTCCAGAGCGCTGGCCCAAGCTCAGGGCCACCGTTTCTGACTTCAGCATCACCAGAGTCTGCCCAGCTGCTGCTCCCTTCTCTCCCCACACCACGCTTCAGCCTCCAAGCCTCTGTCTACTCTGGCCCTCGGCCCCAGTGCCCTTCCTCCTAACACCTGCCAGAGGCAGGGGGAGCTGTGGGGGCACCTGACCTGGCTCCAGGGGCTCTGTGGACTGTCCCTGTCTAAGGGGGCTGCTTGGGAGCCCAGCCCACCTGGGTGTGCCCCTCCAAGAGGCCCCGAGAGGGAGGCCTGCTTGTGCTCCGGCACACACTCATCCCAAGGGCCCAGTGCACTTGCTCCTGCTCAGATCTGGGCTCCTCCTGCCCCAGGTGTGGGGCATGCTCACAGCTCCCCTCGGGGGACTCCGAGGTGCTGCTGTGGTGCCACAAGCCCCCTCTGCACCATGACTGTGAGGGTGGTTAGAAGCAAACCATGCCAGGGCAGAAGGGCAGGCAGTGAGAGGCAAGTGTCAGTGCAGAATGTTTATTGTATAAAATAAGAAGGGGCCACCCCTCCCCGGAGCGCAATGGATGGGACCCCCCCTCCCCTCCCAGCAGGGAAGCCCATCCTGGGGCTGCCCTGGACCCACCCCTGCAGCCCTGAGGGAGACCCTGCTCCCTCCTGGCCTCCCTTGGGGGCCAGGGAAGGCTGGAGCCGCACCCTAGAAAGAAGGCAGAGTGATCAGGACCCTGTGGCCCCAGCCTTGGCCTCATGCTTCTTCCCCTCCCCCCACACCCCTCCCTCACAGCAGACTCAGGGACACCAGACATCTCGACACAACAGCAGATGGGTCCAGGGGCTGCTCCTCTGCCAGCCCCCAGGCCCTGGTTGGGCAGGGGCTCTAGAAGACCGTACACTTTTTCCCTGGCTTCTTCACGGGGGGTGGGCAGAGCACTGCCCGGATGGCCTCGTCAAACACTGTCTTCAGGCCCCGCTGGGTCAGGGCTGAGCACTCCAGGTACTTGACAGAGCCTGGGGGCAACAGGAAGTGGGGTGGTGGCAGAAGCAGGGATGGGGATGTGAGGGGGCAGCACGGGCAGATGCAGGGCCCCCAGCATGCCTCCCCACCTCCCCACCCTCCCTGGTGGGTGCCCGGTGGTGCCCACCTACCAATCTCTCGGGCCATGGCCAGGCCCTGTGGGTAGGTGATGGGCGCCAGCTTCTTGTCCCGCAGCCGCTCAATGGTGTCCTTGTCATCGCGGAGGTCCAGCTTGGTGCCCACCAGTAGGATGGGCGTGTGGGGGCAGTGGTGCCGCACTTCCGGGTACCACTGTGGGGACAGAGGCTCTGATTCCCTACACCTTGGGGTCTGCTCCCCCAGCCCAGCCCTGAGTGGCCATGGCTCCTGAGGGCTTCCTCGCTGGCCCTGGAGCCACCCTGGGCTCTTCCTACTTTACAGGATGACCAGGGGTCTGGCGGTTTGGTGGGGAGGTGACCGGAAACAAACAGCCAGGAAGCCGTGCAACTCACCTGGGACTCCCGGTCAAGGCCCATCCCCAGAGGCTACAGATGCCCCTCTGTCTTCTGAGATGCCCAACCCCCATATGCCACTCCTTCACCCCCAGGGCCATTGTTGGGCCCCGCCCCATGTGCTCACTCCCGACAGAACACACATCTCAATCAATCGCCTCTGAAGGACAAACTGTCTAAGATCTTCAGGCGACCCCCATCCTCCAGGGCAGGTCCTCCAGGCAAGTCCTCCCCCCAGAGCAAAGCCCAGCCCGGTCCTACCTTGGCGCGCACATTCTCGAAGGAGGCGGGGCTCACCAGCGAGAAGCAGATCAGAAACACGTCCTTGGGAGGGACCCGGTTGGAATGTCAAGGGGGCTCCACGTGGCCACGCCCTCCCCCATCTGGACCTCAGGGACCCACTCAGCTCCGGGCTGGCCCCCTTGTCACCTACAGTTTGGGGATAGGAGAGTGGCCGCAGCCGGTCGTAGTCCTCCTGCCCAGCCGTGTCCCACAGCCCCAGGTTGACCGGCTTCCCGTCCACCATCACATTGGCAGAGTAATTGTCGAACCTGAAGAGCAGAGTGGGAAAGGCCGGGCTTGGGAGGGGTCCTGGGTCACCCCGGCCCAGCCCACCTGTGTCTCAGGGTTCTTGAGCCTGCACAGAACTGGAACTCTGCCCGGCACCTCAGCCCCACCCCAGAAGCCCAGAACCACGGCAGCCTGGGCCAGACCTGGGAGCCCAGGGGCGCCCCACACACGTGTGCCCAGGCCTCCCAGTGTCCCCCACTCACACGGTGGGGATGTACTCTCCCGGGAAGGCGTTGGTCGTGTAGCTGATCAGCAAGCATGTCTTCCCCACGGCGCTGTGGACAGGGGCAAGCCCACGTGGCTCCCAGGCCCAGCCTCGCCCCTCTGCCCGGCAAGGGCAGCCTCCTCCCACGGAGCCAGAGACCAAGTTGGGGCGCCTGGGTGGGGACGGGGGTCCCAGCCCAGCAGATCCGCAGCGACCTAGGGCTGGAGGACGACCGGGGCAGGCCGGGCTCCGTGGGGCGGACTGGTGGGTGCGGGCGCGCGGACCCCCAACATCAGAGCCCCAGGCAGGGCGGCAGAGTTCCCAACACACCCGGGGTGGGTGGCAGGGGCGGGTGGGGCCGGCTCAGGGTTCAGCCCAGGTGAGAGGCCTGGCCCCACCCACTGGGAGGACTGGGCGGCGGCCCCGCCTCGCGCGGCACCCAGCCCGCGGAGCCCGGCTGCATCAGGTGGGCTGGGGCTGGAGGCCCGCGGACCGCGGCGGGCCGGGACCCCGCCCCTGCCCGGCCCCGGGGCGCACGCGGCCCTGGCTGGGGGCGGCCCCGGGTGCCGTGCCCCGCCCGCCCGCTCCCCAGCCTGGCAAGCAGTCTCGGGGCCGCGCACTCACCCGTCGCCGACCACCACGCACTTGATGGCCTGCATGGGCGCGGGGCCGGGAGGCGGCGGGCGCGGCCGCGAGCTGAGCTGCGGAGAAATGCCCGGCGCCGCAGCCGCCGCGGACCCGAGCGAGGAGCGAGCGGCCGGAGACAGCCGAGCGCCGCCGAGCGCGGGGCGCGGAGACAGCCGAGCGCGGCCGCAGGGGGCGGGGCCGCCGAGCAGGGCCGAGCCTGCGGGGCGCGGGCGGGGCGCCCCGAGATGCAGCCGGTCCAGAGCCGCGCGCCGCCGGGCCCTGTGCCCGACGAGGGCCCCAGGTGCTCGGGGTTGCCCTGGGGTTCTGCGGGCGCAGCGCGAGCCCTCGACCCGACACGTGCGGGGGCTGCGCGCATGTCGCGTTTTCCAGGGGGACCCGCCCCCGGCAGCGAGCGGCCGCGGAAGCCGGGGTCTTTCGGCGTCACCCCGCGGCAGCAGTGAGGGTGCCCTGCCGCTCGGGGCGCGGCGCAGAGGAGACGCGGCCGGAAAGTACGACAAAGTGCACACGCGCTGTATTCCGCACGCGCGGCCTCACGCCAAAGGCAGGTACAGCGGGGGTGAAACGCCCGCGGGGAACGGGGGCGCCCTCGGGTCTCCTCCCCACCGTGCTGTCCACGGCGCGTCGCTCTGCGGCCGGCGCGGGAGCGCGGGGAGCCGGCCCCCCGGTCCCTCGGTCCATCCCCGCGCGCCCCGACGCGCTGCGACTCCGCGGCTCCGTCACTTCGGGGGGCTCAGCGCCCTTGGCGGGACCCCCTGCACGTAGGCCAGCACGGCGCTC